AGCAGAACTGCAGAACTGCAGTCAGCTGAAGTAGCCTGCAGTGCTGCATTTAACCACTGCGCCACCTCAGCTTCAGAAAGGGGGAGGAGGAGGAGGGAGGAAGAAAAAGGAGGACGGTGGGGTTCTTGGTGCTCTGTGAGCTTTCTTGCAGACATCTCATGATCAAACGGTAACATCATCAATACTAAAAGGGAGGGAGGTGTGCAATGATGACATCACCTAGTTGGGCAATAAAATGCAAGAAAACCACCAAGCTCAGAGAGCACCCAGGACCCCTAAGATGCTCTGGACACATCTGGGCAGTTGGGGGCTACAACTGAAGTTTTATGTTGCCAGATTTTGGGGAAGCGTTGAAAGGTTCAAGGCTGCCAGAGAAGCCCAACACAACCATTGAAACGTCTTAACGGGTTTGGGTCCGGAATGCAAATAACGGTCTCACAAAGTCACAAACCCCGAAATAAATGGCAAGGCATCTCTGTTGCGCATCCTTGTTGCTAACTTAACAATCCTGCTTCTCTCCTGCAGAAGCGAGGTTTGGAGATCCAGTGGCTCTTTCGGGCCCGCGGAGATTTTACTCGCGCTACCACTGCGCTGACCCAGGATGTGAAAAACACAGACCTCAACGACAGGGATGCGTCCCGTCTCCTGAATGACCGGCTGATGAAAGTGAGCCTTTATCTCTCTCTCTCTCGCTTTTATTTTTAATAAAAGAGTTTTTATTATTTTTCAGTTGCAAAACTAAACATTCCATCTTTCCTTATGCAGTGTTGTTGTCTGGGTACCAAACATCTCTGTGCAACATCTTTCACGCTCATATTAACATTATTTCCCTAAGTTTAGTATTATAATATATTGAGCATTTAAACATTATAAAACGCTCCATTTTTCTTCTTACTATCTTCTAGTAATGATATCATATTAACATTAAACGCCATTATTCTCATCATACACATACCAACAGATTTCATCTTATTTATATCACTCTGGTTATTTTTTAGCCTTCTTCATTTCCAAACTCCTTTTTTATTCCCCAACCGTTGATAAAAAAAAAACTTCCCAAGTCACGTAATATTCAGTTTGCTCTTTCTCCTTAATTGCTAATGTTAATCTGTTCATTTCTGCACGTTCTAATATTTTCCTCATCACCACCTCAACAATAGGAATCTCTGCAGAAAGTGATCCTTTCTCAATTTTCTTCTCCTCCTCGCCAACTAACCTTGGTTCTTTCAGAGTGAATCGTGTTGGTTGCCTTAAAGTGTTCAGAAGAACAGAATAGAGTTGGAAGGGACCTTGGAGGTCTTCTTGCCCAACCCCCCTGCTCAAGCAGGAGACCCTGGACCATTTTGGACAAGCGGCCGTCCCTTCTCTTCTTAAATGGTTGGGGAGCACCCACAACATCTGGAGGCAACTTCTCTGTATAGATAGTTTTATTTTTCATTTTCGTACAGTCACACATATACTGTACAGAACTGGGGCCATATAACATTAAACAATAAACACAGCCATCCCTCTTGTCAACAATACCCCCCCAAAATACAAACCCAATATACCACCCTCCATACACCCTTTCTTTCGCCCCCCTCCAACTTTCCATCTTCCCTCCATCATTCCCCTCTACCCTA